ATAAAATTCTGAATGTAAGACACTAAAACCTTGTGTCATGTGCAGTAAAAGGTACCCGTGCCAAAAGAGTTAATGACTTCCTTATCCTTTACAAGCAGTTGTTCCTTAATATGGGTCCAATTATAAGAGTCTAATTCTCATGTGTTTGTCTTATTTATGCCTAATATCAATTTAAATTTAGAATACACCTGTTAGTGAAATGTTGAAATATTTAAGAAGTAGATTTAACATGCTTAGATTTTCATTAATAAAGGCAACATTCTGCATCTCTCTCTCTCCACAAATTGGGTTCAAGTTGGGTATCCCTTCTTAATAATAGAAGGTGTTTTGGAGGTTTTGGCAGCCACCGCTCACCACCTCCACCACTAGAACCTTTACTAGTATACCCTCCATTTACTATCAGTAGTCTTTGTTTGATTAAAAGCTGTTACATTATTTTTCACCAAAATTAAATTACATTACTTACTTTTACCTTATCGGAATATTGTCTAGAGATACTATTAAAATGATACCTGTAGAGAAAGATTGGTGTTTGGATTACATCAGTGTGCTGTTTCTTGCTAAGGCGACCTCTTTCATGTAGCTTCATCTGATAGGTCACATGGTTGTAACTATATCATGTGACTGACTGTTAGAAAACTCACATGCCCGATTTATCTCAATACTTCTTTCTCTACTGCCACAAGATCATTGTGGAGGTTATTGCATTTACAGTTATGGTTTATTATTATTATTATGTGTTTGGATTTATTACATTTATGGACAACATAAGGTCAAATTTTAATTTAATGGACCAAAATGTAAACAAATATTTCTCTACACACAGAAAAAAAACAACCCAATATTGATGAGAAAAAATATCTTACATAAGAGTTGGTCTAAAATGTACCTAGGTTAGTCATCATTTACCATTTCTACCAGCAGCATATGTTTTTTACATGTATATTTTTGGTGTGATGTATAACTTATGTATTTTGATAACTTTTATACTATGCTTAAATGCAAATTATGTGTTGCAGTTTTTTCTGAAAATTTGTAATTTTCTTTTCTAAAACTGAGATGGTTTGGATTTTTGTCAGTTTTTGTTTAGGGAATAGATAATCAGTTAATTTTCATTAAACCAGTTTTCACTATGATGTATATACTGCTGTGTTTAGTAGACAAAAGATGCTGTATTTAAAACTCCTTTTTGTATTTCTTATTTCCAGAGGAGGAAGACCAAGATGAACCCTACAGTGTTCCAGATGGGTTGACAGTACCTGCTGGCTTGGAACTGGTAAGTAAACATCATTGTGCTAAATGTGCCACAATTATAAAAATTGTACATTTAGGTAGAACAGTTGCATTGCTGTAGAATATGTTAATTGTTTCAGTATTTCTGACAGTGATAGGATTTCAGTTAGTCATTAAATTGTATTTTCATCATATTAGTCTTTCACCAGTTAAACTGTTAACATTATAAAAGATATCACATTTTTAAAGCATTAGGTAATGCCCAATAGACTAGCCTGATACGCTTAAAGATACAACGCTGAAGATATTTTGAATTTTTAGATGTCTGTATTCTACTTAATTTACTCTTATAAAGCATTTGAAAATAGGTTCTTTTTATCTTTCATTTATTTTCTAGCCACAGACATTAAAAGCCCATACCATAATTGAGAAAACAGCCATATTTGTGAGTCAACATGGTCCTCAGATGGAAATAATCTTAAAGACCAAACAAGCCACAAATCCCCAGTTCAACTTCCTTTCTATTGATAGCACGTTGTATCCATACTACAGGCATCTTGTTGTAAGCATTAGAGCTGGAACTTACAAACCTAAACCTCCTGAACAGCCCAGTAAGTAGCAAGTCTTTATTAAATTTAAGTAAAAAATAACTTTCCCTGTAGGATATGATAACAAACTATACTTAGAATACCTGTGTTTTTTATTTATTATATTTCTTGCCCAAACTGTGTGTTTAAATTCATGGATAAATAAAGATCCCTAAAGTTCCTTGAAATATTTCTGCACTTTTATTTGATAAAAAAAAAGGGTTCTCACAGATTTTTAAGACTGGAAAATCAAGGCTTTAAAATAAAAAATCATTTTCAAGGCTTGATAA